AATGACATGCCAACATGTCTAAATTTTGATAGCTCTGAAATTAGGGACCATAATATGATTTGTGATGCCCTAAACAAACATTTTGCAGATGTAGGGAAAAATCTTGCTGCGAAAATTAACACTACTATTAGAGACTCTCAACACAAGCTTGGTCCTAGCAAAAATGGATCTTTTTATCTAACAGATGTTACTGAATGTGAAATTGTAAATCTTTTGAATGAGTTGGATGAAAAAAAATCATCAGGCTCTGACAATATTCCTATCAAACTTATAAAAATAGCTAAGTTTGTCATAGCACCTGTTTTAACAAATTTGATCAATGCTAGCTTCAGGGTAGGTATTTTCCCAGATATTCTAAAACTTGCCAAAGTTGTTCCATTGTATAAAAAGGGTAAAAGGGATGACATGAATAACTATCGTCCAATATCATTACTATCTCAATTTGCAAAAGTCATTGAAAAAGCCTTGTATAAAAGACTGATAAACTTTTTTGATACTAATGAAATTATCAGTAACTCCCAATTTGGTTTCCGAAATGCACATTCTACAGAGCTTGCTGTAGTCAAACTAAAAGAATCAATATTGAATAATTTATCAGATAATAAAGTAACTTGTGCTATTTTCCTAGATTTGGCAAAGGCATTCGATACGGTTGACCACACTATTTTATTATACAAATTGTCCCATTATGGCATACGTGGATTGCCACTTAATCTAATTCGATCTTATTTAACGAAGCGTCAACAATTCATTGAATCGAATGGTTACAAATCTTCCCTTCAATATGTATCTTGTGGAGTCCCACAAGGTAGCACTCTTGGTCCCCTACTATTTTTAGTCTACATCAATGACCTTCCTACTACCAGTGCGTTCGATACCACACTTTTCGCTGATGATACAGCTCTGCTTGACTCTGCCACAAATATTGTAGATCTCCAACATGCAATGAATTTGAAAATAAAGCAAATTGACCATTGGTTGAAACTAAATAAATTGTCACTTAACTATTCGAAAACAAAATTCATGGTTTTTGGGTCTGGGAAGAATAAAAGGTTTGAAAACTTTAAATTAGAAGTTGGCACAATTAGCTTGGAAAGAACAAGTACTATAAAATATTTGGGAATAGTTCTGGATGAAAAACTTAATTGGAAAAATCACATAGATTACCTTTCAAAAAAACTTTCTCAATCACTTGGAATGCTTTATAAATTAAGGAGATTTGTAAATTTTGAAACCCTTAAAATAGTTTATAATAGCCTGGCCTTTTCACATCTTCGATATGGTATATTATGTTGGGGTAACGCGACAAAAACTGCTTTAAGACCCCTTGCTGTTTTACAAAATAAGATGATTAGATGTATGATGTACCGAGAGTCATCTAGACAAATACGTATAAATAATGCAAAACTGTATCATCATTGTGAATTTCTTCAATTGAAAGAACTCTACATAGGTGAAGTGGGAAAATTTATGTATCGTTATGAAAATGTGCTGCTGCCAGAGTATTTTCAAAACTTTTTTGTCAAAATTTCAAATATCCATCCGTATGAGACCAGGAGTACATCAAATAAATTGTATTTCACCCCGCGATACCAATCTTCATGCATGAAGAAATCGCTCAAGCTGGAAGGTATTAATGTATGGCAAAGTATTCCACAGAGTATGAAACAGTGTTCCCCACAATTATTTGATCGCAAACTAAAACAACATTTATTAGCGGATTATAATGTGATGCAGTGACGTTCAAATCTCAGTGTATGCTATCAGATTCATAAAATGGATAGGAAATCACCATTTTATAGATGTATGTCTCTGTGAAAATTATCGAAGATACTATTATATATAGTCTGAAGTGTTCATATGTACTATATGTCTATATAGCTTTGGAAATATGGTATTTTAAATTTTTCACCCATTCATAGAAACTGCCTCATTTCCTCATTTTCACTATTTGATTTTTGTCGAACATAAAGTAAAATTAAACTTGAGGAAATTATAATTAGGCTTACGCCCTTCTTAATTTTTCACTTCTTTTCGCATTTTATTTACTATTAAAAAAAAGTATAATCTGCATAATCATGCGATGTTCTTTTTTCTTGTAATTTTCAATCTTTGATTGATACCACCCTATTTGCAAATTAAAACAGCATTTCAGCGGATCATAATATGATGCAATATCATGCAAATCTCAGTGTATGCTATCAGATTTATCAGATTTATTAAATGGATAGGAATTCACAATCTTATATATGGATTCTTCATATGTCTCTGTGAAAATTATTGAAGATACTATTATATATAGTCTGAAGTAATAATTATATGTACTATATAGCTTGGGAAGTATGGTATTTTTAATTTTTCACCTATTCATAGAAATTGCCTCATTCTCACGATTTGATTCTTGTCTAACATAAATTATAATTAATTGTAATTAGCCCGACGCCCTTCTTATTCTTTCTCGCATTTTTAATTACTATTAAAAACATGATCTGCGTAATCATGTGATGTTCTTGTTCCTTGTAATTTTTATTTCTATTCCAATACTTTCGGGGAATTGATTTCTGGGGCCTCTTAACCGGGCTTAAAACTCAAAAATTTATATTTCTTCTATTGTAATTATGATGCCTGCTTTAGAGTGTCCTGTCTTGGTAGAATCTTACCTTAGGGGTCGGTCGACCTTGTTGACCTTGGAAGTCTTGCCCGTCCCCTTCCGTATACATTTTTATGCTTATTGTTATTTGCTCATGCTTATTGTATTATGTACTTGTATCGGAAATAAATCATTATCTATCTATCTATCTATCTATCTAAATCGCGACATGTTTACCTGGTCCATTTCCAATCTCACTTCACGAATGGCTCGCACCGATGATTCAGATTCTCTCAAATCTCGAGAACACGTTCGTTATTTGTTTCAGGTATATAGAATAGGATTTATCCCGGGCGATATAATATTTATAATTATATAATATTTTATTAAGTTCACCACCGGGGGACGCCAAAAAGTTGTGAAACGCTGGCGGAAGAGGGATTTCTATTTTGTGTAGCAAAACTCATTCATCGAAGCAATAAAAAACAATATTATCTTGGTATCGACAGTACGGATTGATACGGTCAACTACTACCTTGACTAAATATGAAACAAGATATGGTTTGAGAAAAGTCTAGCAAAATGTAATACCAGACTGTATTTTTCCTTTAGCGACGACTGTGTACGGAATATAGACATTTTATGTTCTAACTACGAAACAAAACACTCACAGTTCGGAGGGTCTATATATGGCAAAACAAAATTAACAAACTCCATTTTTCTTTCCTTGGCATAAATTTGGTAGCTTTATTAATAAAACAATTTACACATATATACGAAGAAAATTATAAATTTTCGTTTTCTGTATTTAAAGGCAGGCTATTCAATTTTTCTAATCAATTCAGGCTTTTCAATATTTCCATCGATATTTCCAACGCAAATTCATATCCTTACACGAGTGGGCCGGTTCAAATTCTTCTGTGGGCCAGATCCGTCCGCGAACCGTAATTTGCCCACACCTGGGCAAGGTCCATGTAATGGCCTCCAACGCACGTAATTGGACCACTTCTCATTCTTACCACTGAAATAGACGATAGATTAACATATTCACACTAAAAAGCGTAAGAGCCATTGACCACGTTGGACAAGTAGTTTCAGGCGTTCGCGACAGACACTTGAAAATTTCTTCAAGAATTTGGGTTGGCCTCTCTCCCCACTTGGCACGGATAATTAGGAAAAGTGCTGGCGAGGTTTGGAAGTGTTTCACAATTTTTGAAGGTGACTTAGTTATAATTGTTTACGATGAATGATACAGTGGAAATTTTAGTTCTGAGAAACTGTGCGCATGTGAAGTAAACTTGGAATTTCAAGCTATATTGTAGATTTTGAAGTTGTACTAGGTGTGATACCTAAAGAGGTATTATTTATTTATATTAGACAAGGAAGTCAGTCAGTCAGTAGTTTACTTTTTTCACTTACCGAAAATATGAAAGTCAAAAAACAGTGGATTAAAATTAAAATAATTTATTTCTGTGCGAAGGGAGTCGCAATAAACCAGTAATGGTTATCGAGCAGAATAAGTTGACTTTTGTTTAAGAAATAAGAGCTCATTAAACTTTCCCCGGGGCTCGTCGTGTGAATCTCGCTTGCAGTTTCTGGGAATTGCGACGAAAGTAATTAAATTATCTTCAACCATTTTCCAGGAACAACAACACCTTTCAATCTAACATCAGTACCTTTTGAACCGTATTTAAGTTTTCGTTCGCTTTCCCGATTCTGCAATCAGATTTATTTATTTTGCTTTTATCAATTATTTGATCGTCTTTTATGCTGATTATGGAGTTAAAATAAACTTATATTATACTTATAATTATTATTATTATTATAGCGACTCGCCCAAAGATTAGCTTGATCACTAAATGTTGTAGGTAGCGCCAATCGGCAAATGACTAGCTCCATCTGAGTTGTCGCTCATTATTAACACGAATCTTATATGTAATGCTTCTTCTTGCAAAGTTCAGAATTCCTCCACAGTTAATATATATATATATATATATATATATACACTTGTTGCCCGGTCTTAATCAGGTGATGAAATACATTCGTAAAGCGTGAATCAAGTCTCTTGAATCAATTAGAACAGGGGTGTGCAACCTGGGGCCAAATGAGGCCCATTAGGGAAAAATTGTGCGTCCCGCGAAACAGTTTTTAATTTGGTGTAATAGGGTAACTGCGAGTATTTTCAATCCCGAATTTGTCACCAATGTCTATTATTGTGCATGCAACTAGTAGAAGGGTTATGTAGGTGCGGCCCACGGTTTCACCAAGTTATTTGTATCTGACCTTCCTGAACACACCTCTGACATGGAATAGCCATCAACTCTAGTGCAATAGCGCTGAAGAAAGTTAATATTACTACATAACCCTTACTGATAGAAAACTGATTTTTTTGCATCAGATATAGATAAAAGAATGCTCAAAATCTAAATTAAAGTCATGTAGAATTATCATTACTTCTGACGTCATATTCTAATCATTGAACCGTGCCTGAATGGAATCTGGACGTAAAACCGACAAGAAATGGCTCCCGATCATGGTAAGAAACCTATGTTTAAAGATAACAATTAATTCATACAAATTCCGGTACAGTTTTCTAGAGAAGTTCTATTTATTCCAAGTGAAAATGCTGAGTGAAACCAAATAACATAATCCATAAATTTCTCAATTACTTTTACGAGAATGAAAAAAGAGCACTGCATAAAGATTCGTTGTTAAATGGTTTGGTCGTCGCATATTACTCAAGTAGACTTGACCGGTTCTAGCAAAATTCGCCACAGGAAATTTCACTGTAGGAAATATCATAGGAAAATCACCGCCGGCGCATTTGCGAACGTCGGGTATATTTGGAATACGTATCTCGAAGTAGACTATTGGTTCTTTATTACCCCCGTCAATGGTTTCCAAACCTTTTCGATGTTTTCTTTCATTAGTTATTTCAGATCTCGTTTTCTCCATCATTTGTCACTATGCATAACAACTCCGTTATTTTATCAATCTTTAGTGCGCCATCAGTTAGTGTTACGTGTGTGTTTGAACGGCTTGAATTGCTTATACAATGTCATTTATTATTACTTTAATAATAACTGAACAATATTATTAGGACTATTCGAATACAAAGTAATGTTTCTGTATCTACCCCCAATAAACAATTAAACTCCTCCAGAAAACGAATTTCTCCCAGCTTTGAAACGCTGCATTGAGTCATCTATTCTCTTGTTATTCAGATATTCATTGTGATCGTCTGTCCGGATTCATCTTTCGCGGAAGCAGTACAAGACACAAATGGTGAGTTGCATTATTAATAAATTAGTTTGAATGAAAATTTTCGTATTGAACAAACGCAACGTAAGCCACTTTCCCGGGGTTGGGCAAGGGTCAAAGCGCCGAACGTAAGTTATAATGAGCAAATATCCGCGTGGATCTGGTATAATTGCTGGCGATATAGCTTCGTGCAAGACTCAAAATAAGCCAATAATTTGAATGTAGATTGATTTGGGAAATGGCACAAAATCTACTTCAGTCTAAGCATAATTCATTATTGGCTCTTTTCACCCAAGGAATGATAAAACCTTCAAATGAGTGAATTCCTATGTCGAATGAGTGTCAATATAAATATCTCGATAAACTGTGGCAATACCTGATCGATTCACTTGTCTTGGCCAACTTACTTTTGTAAACCAGGAATTCTCAAACATTTGATGTAATGGAGCCCATGAAGAAGTTGATTATTACGGAACCCAACAATAAATTTTTAAAAACAAAAAACACGTTGTTATTCATCGATCAATTTTTCTATGTAAACTAAAATTACTTTATTGAACGACTTAGATGTGTTTGCTGCTTTTTCTTTGAAAAATGTTCAGTACTTCTGAAGTATGCGCACTAAGATGTCGCACAACCCTAACCTGGTACACAAACTGAGTTCAGGTTGTGCGCCATCTTGGTGCGCATACTTCAGGAGGTCCAAATATTCAGTATTTCAAAAAATTTAATAAGTAAACGAATAGCCTTTAGGTTTCTTTCACGAGTCCTGGGGCTCCGTAAGGAGGACTTTGTAAGAACCTTCAGAAGTATTAGCACCAAGATGACGCACAACCTGAACATAGCATGTGTGTACCGGTTAGGATTAAGGTTGTACGACATCTTGGTAAGCATACTTCTGGAGCACCCTTTGTGAACCTATATTGAAGAATAAGCTTACAATCAAGCATAAAAATAGATTGGTTCCGAAAAACGCGGAATCTCGCGGATAGATGGCAATGTGGGTAATGAGTTGATAAATAGAGGATGAGACACCACTGGCCTTTATTTAATTTAATTGCTGCATGTAGTTTTGCACGATAGAAGATTACAGACAAAAAATAGGAATTCGACTGTGTACGATTCTGCTATGACCAAAGACTCCTTCGTCTGATCATTTTTTTTGCCTCTATTTATCTTAAGTTCAGTTGGGTTGATTAATTTTGTGATATTTAGAATCTTACTCCCTAGAACAGTTGCCTTTCTTGGTTCCGCCAGTGAAATACTGGAGTTCCGCAATTTCGCATCCGAGAGTCCATTTTATTATGTGTATATTGTTTAAATAAAATTAAACTTGCTTCACTTTAATTTATAGTTTATACAATTTACAACATAAAAAATGCAAGATGTGCCTAACTGTAAATGTTGCTCCGAGCACTCCAGCTTTTGAACTATGTTGTCTGCTTGCTCAGCGTCCATTTTTATTCACTCGTAAATTAAATCATACTATAGGAGATTTTAATGTGAACTGGGAGCATCGTCCAGAAAGGTCAAATTTCGTAAAAATATAAACAATCCTCACAAGATGAAAAACAAAATGTCAAAGTAGTGACTCATTGTGACAGCATAACAAATGTGAGATAGATTGATTGTGACATACTGATGACCTAACAAAGAGAAACCACGGCTGTGTAAATATCATTTTCTACGTAATAAAGTAGGAACCTTACGCAACAATCGTCCATTTCTTTGATTGGCGGGAATGTTCTGTGGTAGCGAAAAGTACTTTAGAAAATCGTAAGTATTGGATTAGATAAAAGCGCTGATTAGTAACTTTTTAGCGAATGGCTCAAGTGCACTTACGATTCTCTCAAAAGTGTGTACGATACCACACGATACGATGGCGATAGATCTTAATTAGAGTAAAAAAATGCTAATTTTGAAAAAGACTTCAAGATACTGAGGATGTTCATATCTCATTTTTATGCAACGTCTTATATATGGCTCTCTACCACATCCAAATAATAAGCCACTTTATTTGGAAAGGTTCGAAATTGTTCCGGTTCTGTATTGCCAAATTTATTACTCTCTGTTATAAACTACGGGATTTGTATCTTTTGTTCATAACCTCCGCCATTGATGCAAAAATGTAAGATTTGAGAAAAACAACCACGTTTTAAAATAACAAATCAGTATTTATCCAGTTAGGGGTTGGGTTAGGAATGCAGATTGTGCTGAAAATTCAAAACCACAATCGGATGGGAATTATTTAATATTTGAATTTCCAGTGCAATCTGCATTTCTAATTCAAACCCTAACCGGATAATTACTAATTTTTGTTGACAGGATGTTTTTTGACGGGGGCTTTGTACGAAAGATTCTTTGTTTTTTTTACTTTCAATTAGTTAATCCTACAAAAAGATTATACGCGTCTTTCGTCCGAATCTGGTATATAAATACAGTAGTCAGTTTAAAAAATCTTCAACAGTACAGTACCATATCGGCCCCTAGGTACTAGTGCCAAAGACTGACATTAACAGTAGCCTACTGCCACATTACACATCTTCTCCAACGGCGTATAAAATTGAAACAACCCCACATTAGAAGTGGACTGGTCCCATTGTCTATGCCCCCAGATGAAAGGGGATATCCTATATGTCGGCGTCCTATTACATAAACGTCACCTTAGGGATGGAAAATATCGCCGGATATTGGCAGAATAACAAAATTTCAAATTAACACTCCATGCGAAACCTATCACGCCTTCCCTATTTGTTTAATTTTTAGACTGTAATAGTTTATTGGACACGAAATGTACATATGGATGTCTTGGTACTGTGTTGTTGTTTTTGTTGTTGTTGTTGGTATTTTCCTATTATCGTTATGAAAAAATCGCATTAGAAACTGTTTCATTTGCTTTAAAATCTCCAGTAGTCGGAGATTAGATGTTTCGCCAGATGGCAATTACTTTTATTCATTTCATAAATTTCGGTTGGCTCTATGGCATTCGTTTTTTTTGTGTGTGTGAATACGTTATCAAAAAACTCGCACCTTGGTTCCGTGTTCTTGTTAAGAGTAAAGACTGCCGTACCGTTAGTTTATTTTGACAGATTGCATAATCGTACTAGTTTGTTTTGGCTTTCATATCCATATATTTGAGCATGTTTCACTTGCTTTGTTTTTTATTCATTTAAAAAAACATAACGAGATCAAATAAATTTGTGCGTACGACATCAAATTTCAAACCTCAATTCTAAAATTGGAACTCGCTTTTTCTACTGCTAGAATTCAAAGTTAAAAGTCTCTTGACACTTGGCAATTGTCCACAGTGTCGGGAGAAGGTATCGAGTCGCATCTGAGTCTAACTTCTTTGGCTTATTTGGGTGGAGCTGAAAGAGAGAGAGAGGGAGAGAGAGAGAGAGAGAGAGAGAGAGAGAGATAGAGGGAGAGAGAAAAAGATAATTTATTTATGGAGATCAAGTCTTTATCCAATAAACGCATACTTATTTCGAGTACTGAGGACTAAGGCGCGCTTTAAATATCTTTATTTCAAAATCGATCGTGCGCCTTATAAGTTGATACGCCTAATGTATAGATCAGGTAGTGCTTTATTGTCTGCACTCAAAGTCAGTACCAGTACCGGTGCCAATTATGTATGGGTAGAAACCAAGTATGAATACGGCAAACGCTGGCAAAAACCAATAAGAAGAACTAAACAATTTATCCGCAATATGACATTCAATTTTGAAACCTGACTCCGTAATTGCAACATCAACTACGGCACCAATATCAATAAAAAATTGTCATATACTTTTTAAGTAACCATTGGTAAAAGCCCATACGAATAAAATTTATTTATTCAAATTCATAATAAATAATTTATATTAATTTTATACGCGGTGTGACATTTAGTTCTAAACCTTGACTTCAATTTGTTTTATTCCTGAGTCACCAAACTCAAACGTCTCATGACGCTTGGCAACCGTGGACGCGAACGCGAAAATGATTGACATCATGTCGCGTCGAGGTCTAAAGGTCGCACAAATGTACATTTTTCACTTGCCAATCAGCAACGAAGTGGTTGTTACGCCGCTTTGTGAAGTTACTGGCCCTTTCAAATCGCTGGTTGACTTTTAGAGCATCAACCTTTTGAGTAGGCGGGCCGGTAAAATTCAAAACTAATTTTGCGGACCGATGAACTTTAAAATGGACCTAAAAATAATTGAAGGAACGTAAATACGACAAAAGTATGTAATTCAAGAACAGACAATTCAATTTAATGAGAAGTTATTTTACACCAAGCACCTAGCCGTTCAGGGCCTGAAATAGGTGCAGGACCTCTGGCCAAGTTTGGTTTACGCATCAATAGCAGTTAAAACTCACAAAATGAATGGGCAGGCCATCAATGCATTGCATTATGCAATTAAGATATAATATTGAAATATCTTTGGCGAACCGACAGGAAAGTTGACGCGAACCATCGGTTGAGAATCACTGCTCTAGAAGTGCCATTTAAATTCAAAATATTCAAATGACTTTCTTAGCAGAGGAGTAAATTATCAGAAACTTTCGTTAAATGTCGGTTTTTGCGAGGATGGCTTTATTTCGACTGAAATTATCTGGGTAGCCAGAACAACAATCATTCATAACTTCCCGATCGTAGGAATACTCACTCGTTCGTCTAAGAACCTAATTTACGTGAGTTAATGCCAGGGTGATATATAAAATATACCAGGGTGTCTATAAATCCCTTTACAATTTCAATTTTGTTGCGATGTCAGTTTTCAATATATCTTAACCATGTTTGTTGTTTTTTAATCAGTTTTTTTGTAAATGTTTTCAGTTAATTTAAGGCATCTGTGGGGCCCAAAACAATAGATGGTATCGATAAATCCCTTTGCAATTTTAAAAAATTTTAGGACTTTATGGACACCCTATATATATATATATACAGTGGTGGGATTCAAATTTTTTGTCGGCCGGTTCCATCACAAAAGTCATATTTCTTTAACAAATAAACCAGTAATTCTAACCGGTTTGCTCATAAAATTCCGTGAGACGGTTCATAGAACCGATGCGAACCGGCTGAATCTCACTACTGTATATATATATATATAAAGTCGGTTAACCTTTAGAGGGCCATCTGCTGTTCAAGACCTTGTTTTGTGGAAATCAAAACACTCTAAAATGAAATAAATAAATAGAACTCATCAAAAAATCTAATTCGAACTGATCTATAATTCTGTTTTCAGTTCTGGGCGACTTCATCTACATTCCAGGAATGAGGATGTGTAAGTATTATGATCATAAATAATTGCAATATCAAAATTAATTTCATCTTTACAACAAGAGAGCTATGCTCAAATATATGGACACGTAGCGCCACCTAATGGCAATAATTTTGATGACGTCATAGCAAAAAAAAAAGTAATGGTTTTCTCAAGAAAATTTTTATTTTTACCCACTTAAAATTTCAAAGCAATCGGTCCAGTAATAAAAGAGAAAAGCGATTTCTTCAAAACGTGTCAAAGAACAACAAGCACAACATAATTACAAAACGATCGTTATGTCCACTAAACGTGTCCAATAAATATATGATACTCCCTTTTTAAATAACATCATTTTCGAGTTACAAATTCGTAGTTTGTCTGTAGTTCAAATAAACAAATGAGTTTATACTGTTTCTTGGTGTAACTACACCCCAAAACGTCTTTCGTGCAAAAATATGACATCATTTTAGCTCATAATTGAATGTGGATGAATTGGAATTTTTTAAAATATTCGCTTTACGTTTTCATATAAAAGAAAACTAGAAAAATAGATGGTACATGCGAAAATTGTAGTTCATTTTGATTTCATTTCATTCGAGAGATTATTGAAACAAAACATCAAATATTTTGGTATCCTTCGAAAAAGGTTTACAACAAAAATTAACAAAACTGGTTCGAATTCCGTATTTTTAAAATAAAATCCTTTCTTTTTAGCTGAATATAACTTCTGGTTGCAAACAAATGACGTGGAAGAGTGCGCCAAACATTGCGTAGACGAGACGAGAATCTATTGCAAAAGTTTCAGTTTTCGTAAGAGCAAACCAGGATGTGGAACGTACGAGAACGCACGAGAAGACGCGCCTCCTGGAAAGTACGGAACGCCGACTGCTCCCCTAACCGAAGCTGGCGTCTACCCGAATTGGGGATATTATGAACGAAAAACCTTGGAATATAAGATTTTAGAACACAAGGTAAGGTTTAATTATTTCTTTGTTTTATCATATATTATACGGCGCTCCAGTAGTGTTTGTACCAATATGGAGATAACTAATTTTGTTCGCTTACTCTACATCAAGTTGTGTAAAGGGACTGAAACCTATGGACAGGGGGTATATTCACTTGGCTAACACAAACAGTCCCCGAAATAGTAATAAAATTGAAATAAGGAAAATCGGAATAAAATTATGGTCAAACCCCAACCTGGTACACACCCTACGGGAGTACCCATTATGCTTGATGTAGTGTATCTTGGAAAATTAAATATGGTAGCCAAAATGCTCTACTCTACTGATGAGGGTATTCAGTTAGCGATCGAGACCGTATAATCGTCCAAAACCTATTTTCACAAACTTGTTTGATATACCGTTGAGTCCGTTTTTGAATTTGAACTAGTTTGAATTCCATGTAGGAGTAACTATGTGCGAGAAAATTGCTGTACTCTTCAACGCCGCAGGTTATGGGTCCGTTAGCCTGCGGCTTCCGCCATCTCCAGGTCAGTTACGGCTTTCCCCACCATTTGAAACAATTACCTCTCGCAGCTATTATCTCACTTGACCTGGACTAGTAAGCCGACAGTAGCCCGCAGTGTGTTATATGATTAAGCCCTTCTTGCCTGGGATAAATATAAAAATCTTGGTACTCCATTCCACTCAAGCGTGGCATTTAAAGTACCATTCAAGCGATTCTTTATTGACATCTAGCGGTCACAATATTTTGCTGTTTTTTATGTACAGATGCATCGTATACAAAATCTTACAGAAATTAGCGTTGATGAAGCGACCGAGGTACTTTCTGATTTTGGTAACTCGTTGAACTCTGAACCGGAAGACGATGGGAGTGGAAAAGAATTTCCGGTATCACCTGGAGAGTTGGATCTCATGAGTCAAATGATGGAGGTAGGTTGGTGACCGGTAGTGAAGCCATCTTCTATCGCGTGATTCAGCATCTTATAACCCTTCGTTTTCCACGAGATGAGCATTTTCTTAAGTCGCATATGATACCATGGGATAAAATTAGATTTTGGGTCCGAAAAAGAATTTTATATTACTCAAAATCTGCGTTTAAAAACATTAAATACTATTCTTGGATACGCAAAAAAACAATCATTGGGTTCGAGTAACTGAAATTTCAAATTCATCTTTGCTTCAAATAGAAAACTAATCTCGAATGTTGAATTCAGATAACCAGAAGATCGATACCAAAATGTTGGGCCCGCAGAAACAAAAATGGGCCCAAAAACAGACTTAGATTTCACAGCTGCATATAAATTTCGCTCCGAAATTTTTAGCGACTTTACCTAAATGCATTGCTGTGTCTTAGAGTATGTGAGCCGAACAATACAAAACTGCCAAGTTTTGTTACTTATCGATCTTTAGATCGGTAGGGATGTTGATAGGTATTTGTCTGTTTGTCTGTCTGTTAGATGCACGCAATATCCCACGAAGACGTGGTTGAATCCAAATTTTGCATGTGCATTCATCATATCTCGGTCCAGAAGCCTATTGATTCTGGATGAATTATGTCGTATAATTATCGAGTTATTATTAATTAGTGATGGAACACGCGGTGTCACTATAGAGTCATGAATCGAAACCGCAGTTTCGATCGATAAGTCTTCGGTCTCCGACCGATATTCTCGTTTAATTCTCAATTACACAGCACCATACTTAGCTATTTTCAAAAAACCTTTTACAGCTTGTAGTGAACCTGAATCCGATAGTCAATGCAACCGCAGAAATCAGTGAAAACTTCGCCAAAGTTCTTGTCAACGTCAGTGATTCAATGATGAAACCGACGCACAAGCAATCATGGAAATCCTTGCAAAGAGTGAGTAATACAGTTCTAATCCAGGATAATTTGTTACTTATCGATCTTAAGATCGTTAAGTATGTTGATAGGTATTTGTCTGTCTGTATGTCTGTCAGTTAGATAAACGCAATATCTCCAGAAGGCAAGGTTGAATCTGCTCCAAATTTTGCATGTGCATTCATCATATCTCGGACCAGAAGCCTATTGATTTTGGATGAAATATGTCGTATGATTAGCGGGTTATTATTTCATTAGTGTTGGGACACGCGGTGTCACTATAGAGTCATGAATCAAAACCGCAGTTTTGATCGATAAGTCTTCGGTCTCGTTTATTCCTATTTAATAAGACACACTGAAATACCAATGCGGCATGAGCATCACGGCATCACTTCAGACACTTTCTAAGGTCGTGGATACTCGAAAGCACATTGATTATTCATGGATACTGGATATTTCGGATAATTTTGAATAATTTTGTTCTTTGCTGATATATACTTTACTTAAATACGATTGTAACAAGAGCAGTACGTCATACACTATGTTGTCCTCCAGACTTGAAAACTTAGCGATCATTCTATGTCATCCGCACTTGAGCAGCAATGAAATGAATTTCTAACAAAACACGTATAGTGTAACACTTCTTGTTGTGAAATTATTCCATTTCCTGGTGATTTCTAAAATTCAATGTATCTTCATGTATCATATCGAATTTCTATTCTATTTCGAATTCTTCATATCGAATCGCGCTATTCCTCTGACAGCTCCAACTAAACTAACTCAAGCTTGACGTGTCGTCATATTACGACAATTATTTGAAAAGTTCATTCCAGTGGTTTTCACTAATTCCCTCGAAGTTTGAATCTGCTAAATTCGTCGTAATTAGTTTGATATATAAAAGAAGTAAATTAAATACAATGATAGCCCATGAACAAAAAATTTAGCTGTCTACTGCATTAGTTATTGTTGATGCCGAACGAAAAAGATTCCAATGCTCCCACAATAGTACGTCTCAGTTTATTAGAGTTCGCTCGTCTATAGCCATGTTATTAAGGATATATAAAAAAATGCATAAGGACTTGCTGTTTATAAAAAAGGAATAATGTTCCGTTGAAGTAACCGAAACAAAATTATAACAAAAGTTAACATACGTCGGTCACATTAGATACCTATTTTTCATCTTTGACTCATGGAATGATAACAAATAGAGAACAAACAAATAAAATAATCCTCCCGAATCCGTGACGTCATAATCGATAGGCTGATAAACACGTTTCCGACTGTTCTGAAACAATAAAGCAAGGAATTTTAATTTTTAATTTTATAAATTCTCGTATAGTTAGTTGTATTATATAATTTCATGTTTCATTTTACAAGGACCCAAATGTCACCGGAATCGCTGGTATAGTGACGTCATCTGAAGTGGTCACACGTGACGTCAGCGAGAGACTTTTATTTTACGACAATTCAACTTCAATAGTAGCGGAATCCGAAAACATAGGTAGGAGCTTTGTATATTCGGCAACCGATAACAAATTTTTTTACGTTTTGATATCGAATATATTAATATTCTGCTAATGTACCAGGACATTTTTGGACTTATGAATCGTTTTACTAAGCTGATGTTGTTCATTTTGCTGCTATTGTCGTGAATTCTGTGTTTTATTTCTGTAAAGGATTATCGCTTTCCCATTAGATACTGGACCAATCACGTTCCAATTGTTAAGAATTGGATTTCTTACGAATCCTATTTTATATTTTTCCTACCTTTCTGTACATTATGGGTCCGTTGTTCTGAAACAATTATAAAAATAAATGCACCACCTTATGGAATTTCAAAAATTAGTTTTGAGTACCATATCGTAAACGAACCGTGGGGAAGTACTCATAATCAATATTCACATCATGTACATATATTTCTGCCCTTTTGATTTTTTGTTATTGAATTCTTCAATTATTAAAGTATATGTGTTAAAATATAGTCGCAATTAAGCACGACGTGCTAGGCGCAGTGAATCAGCTGACATTGTGAAAAAGAGATTTTCTTCAAATTTTTGTTTACAATCGTAAACCACTACACTAGATGAACATGAAACTGAAACTATTTTTAGGAATGTGGATGGATATTGTCGAATTTCCTGTAATCAATCCAGCAATTTCGAAGGCTTTGTTGATGGCATCTCTCAAAAAAAGTGAAACAAAAACGGACAAAAAAGGAAAAGAAGAATCCAACAAGGGGACGTTTGGAATCGACACAGATACTATGTATATCTTTCCGTCGAAAACAACCCAAAAGAAAAATGTTGAAGGGCGAGTTGTAACTACTGGTGAGAAAGTACTCGTTTAATATTTGGTTTCAGAATGCCCTTGTAAACAAGACCCATTGTGGAAACTTATATTATCTCTTTCATCCTCATATTATCTTGACACTAAAAACGACTGTAATAATTTCTTTCTCTCAACTTACCCATCTGCCATCACTCATAACAAAATATACACGAAACGATATGAATAACGCTTACATAAAAGTCCAGAGATACTAACAAAACATAAAATAGGAAGAAAATTACTGCAAAAACCAGTGTTAATACATATAAGAAAATACTGACGCCGGCTATCCCCAGTTTTTGCTCCAATGCTTCATCTTACCTGGGTAACCGGATTTTTTTTCAGAAAAGAATCTTTAAAATCATTGTAACCATAACAGATTCATTAGGAGGCATAGGTATACAACAATTGTTGACGTCTTTCGCTACAAGGCCCTGTGTGGGGTGGGAGCCACTGATATCTGACGATATGCATATTGAAACATGCTTCGATTCTCTTTTTTACTAGTGAAATCGTTATGTTTTAGTTTCGCCACAACAAAGAGATGACGTACTCGCTGGTGATATCATCATGGTTCCAAGGAGTGCATTACGGAACAGATCAGTTGTGACGCATGTCAGATACAAAGGCTTAAGTGACGTCATACCATCACGTGATGCTGACGTGTAAGCTATTTATCACAGATGATCTTATTTTTTTATATAGAATTAATTTCGCCGTGCATTAGCAGTGAAAAAATCCCTTATCCATGGGCTAATGTCAAAGGCAGGTGACAGATTTCGGTTTGGAACGATGCCCGTTTGTTGTTAAACTGAAACTGTAATTATATTCAAAGGGTCAGATCAAACTAGCTTCTCTTGATATATTTCACTCATACGAAATTGAATATTTTCTAGTCACCCGATCAAAAGTGTTCTATCCAAAAAGTAGCACTCCTATCAGGAGTCACCAGAAATCCCTAAATTCAAAGAGCACTTGAGTCTACGATATGGCCGTATTATTGCATATATATTATTTGCTTATCTATTATATTTTATGTCTTTACAATATATAATGAACTTGTGTTATTTTTAATTTAGAAAATATCCCAGAAAAGGAACAACGCACCGTGTGAATAGCGCTGTACTGACCACTAGTGTTCATCCCAAACCGGCAAAGCACGTTTTCAAAGATGATCCGGTAGTTATTATATTCACCCACGGCGGAGAAAATAGGGAGGATCTGGCGGTTACAGAAAGCACGACATCCCCAGAAAATGCTGATAATTCTTCGGGCTCACCAATCGAAGGAACGACCGCACCTAATACGATAGAAGAGTCTCTGCATTGTGTCTATTGGGAAGAAGGGTAAATAGTAGTTTTTGTCTATATAGAGTTATGTGTTAATTGGGAACATATATAAAGCAACTGTTCTTTATTGGACACAAAATGAACCTATGGATAGTTTTGTAATCTTGTTGTTGTTGGCATCTTTGATTTTCTTTTTTATATTGTCCTTGTTGTAAAAAGATCGTCTTTCTTTTAATTACCTCAACCGATTTCTTTGGAATTTTTCGTGATTAAAGATTGTTGCTGTCGTTACCTTTGTTTATTTTAAAGTTTCTGTGGGGTCTATGAAATTCGCTTTTTGTGTTTGATGAGGTCATCAAAATTAAAAATAACGCTCCCTGTTTATGGTGTTTGCGTTCGTTGCGATATGGTGTCCATTCCAAATCCAGAAGACTATGGTACCGGTACAGCGAAAGATTGGATACCCGTAATACTTTGTTTTGGTATTCGTGCACATATATTTTAGCATTACTCTCTTATTACAAATAATCTTAAATACAGACACCAGTAAATACTTTTAGTCAATACTGGCTATTTTAGTCAATACTGGCATCTGCTAAGTTGAATAAAAATTAAGCATTGAAATTTTAACATCTGCTTTTTTAATTTCAGAGATGGTTCGTCACCTGGTGGCTGGTCGAAAGAAGGATGCGAGCTAGAATTGACGAATGAAACTCATACCATCTGTAAATGCGTTCATTTGACTAGCTTTGCGGTTCTTCTGGAGGTGAATAACAGAGCTTGTTTGTGTTGGACGATTTTTTACCACATTCCCATCACTTCAGATTCTATGCATTTCAAGAGTCTTATAAACTGTTTGTCTGAGGAAGTCTGATTTTAATCAGGCGAAACATTACAGAAATACCTTTGTCTCAGTGTGCAGCAGAACTGTTGAATTGCATAGTATGGTCATGTTCATTCCTGCTATAGCATTTCCATAATACGCGTACGGATTCACCAGCGCTAAGGCATTGGGGAAGAATTGGGAGTATGTCTCGCGTAACCTCTACTGATAGTTACTTTCTCAAACATATGTTGATAAAATATAGACGAAATATAAAACGAGAATATCGGTCAGAGACCGAAGACTTATCGATCAAAAGTTAGGGGATCCCCCAAAACAGCGCTCTTACTCCATAGTGACACCTTGTGTCCCATCACTAATTAATTAATAACTCGCTAATTATACGACATAATTCGCCCAAAATTAATAGGCTCCCGGTCCGAAATAAGATGAATGCACATGCAAAATCTGGAGCAGATTCAATCTTGCTTTCGTGAGATATCGCGTGCATCTAACAGACAAACAGACAGACAAATACCTATCAACAAACTTACCGATTAAAATCGATAAGTAACAATGCTTTATAGTCTTTTCAACTCGTGATCTATTTTACCTCGTCTCACACAATATCATTCGAATAGGAATTTGTGTTCTATCAAACATAGAAGATTGAGATTGAAATTGATTTATTTATGATATAATGATATAGCAACGAATGGTAGCTTCGATAGTCTTCTGAATTAACTAGATTCATTCCGTTCAGATGGTTGATACCAGTGTGGAAGACGATTCCTATCTTTTACATAACTTAGCGTTGAGCTGGATTTCATACATCGGATGTGCTCTGTCTCTAGGAGGAGTCCTAGTCATGTGTGGAGCTTTCATCATGTTGAAGTATGATTTTACATTCGGGAGTTTTTATTATTATTTATATAATTATTCTAAACCAATATTTTAAATATCCGGCTCAAAAGTATTCGGCGAACCTTCATTAAAAAGCATAGATCCTTTTTTAGATCCAGGAAACCCATTTTCTGTAAATGAAACATATCGAACACTCTAACTATACATATTATAAAACATAATTTGCTGTCCTGGGATTTGAATTTATAGTTAACTTCTCCTTTTTTAAAATGTTTACATGTAACTTCAAAATCAGAGTTAGGAACGTATTGTGAAACTCTGATTCAAAATTCCTTCATTTTACGATGCCATTCAAAATCGGTGTCATGTGGTGAGAATCTGATAGATTTAGATCTGATAGTTGAACACAAAATGGACCTGGACCTATGTATCGTTTTGTTATTATTATGCTGCTGTTTTTGAGTATTCTTCTTCATTTTTTGTTGTTGTTATTGGAAGAAACACTTTTTTCTTTAGCTACTGGGCCAATTGGTTGAAGTTTTTAGTGGTTTGGATTAACATTATAAGGCTAACATTTTTATGTATTTCCAAAATTTCCGTGGGCTTTATGGAATTTGTGTGTTGACGTCATCAAAATTAAAAACTGCACACACTCTGACGGTTCCGCGATCCAATCCGCATTTCAGAGATCCGTTGGTCAGACTACCGCTGTAAAAGATTTTTTACGGTTTCGTTTTGACTTTCGTGTCCCTATATATTAGAGAAATGCTCTTTTGTTTTATTAATATTACTTTACTTTGAGTTCATTTCAAATTATTGAACTTTATGTTTGTTATTATTACATTTACATATGCCGCTGCTCGATAATCAGTCTTGGTGTCTCGCGCCCCCCTTCAACCTGAAATACCATTTCACTTTAATTATCTATAGTTTTTCCCCCAATATGTATTTTAGTATGTTGAAAAAATAAATTACTGATTACTGATGATCACATCATATACAAAACATCGTTTCAGATTTCACACAGAGAACATGAAGATTCATTTTAATCTTGGGGTTGCAGTAGGTGCAGCTGATCTAGTGTTTATGTTTGAAGAACTTGCACAAGGGCAACAGTACAGCTGTATATTAGTTACAGTGTTGCTGTATTACTTCAATATGGCAGTGTTATCTTGGATGCTGATTGAAGGTAATAAATAGTAAGGCTAAGGAGAAATATACTTTTAACAGAATGCTAAAAAATTAGTTTTTGAGTGATTTTTAGATAATTGTGATAGAAATAAAACTGAGCAATTTAATAATATCAAAAACTTTTATAGTTTTGAACGATACGGACTGGTAACCGGACTTGATTATAGTCTGTTTCGTTACGTGTTGTAATCAGATATGAACATGAGTAAGTCTTATAAACAGGAGAGCAATACTCAAAAATACGTTCATAAAGGTCGCGTAATATTGCCTTTGCAGTACACCTTTAGTTTAGTAAATACTTGATGGATTGACTGGCATAGGTAAAGTGTTCCCATATGTCACAGAGGAGAGTATTTAGATGAATTAAAATAGAAAAAACAATGTTTTGTGTGGAATATCGGTTAATTTGGAAGAATCAATATAGCTTATTTAAAATAAATTGTTATTTTTAGGCTTGTTCCTTTATTCCCAAGTTGTTGTTGTGTTCGTCTCCGCTCGACGTTGGGTGAAGTATTATGTTTTTGCTGGTTGGGGAATCCCCGCTATTGTCATGGGGATTTCCATGGGAATTTTGAACGTGCAGCTGGGAACAAATAAAATGTAAGTATCAAACTTATTGGAAGATTGGATATTGACTGTATATCAAAGAAACTTTCTAACGCACCATATGCCAGACTGCACTGCACCTAAGTTCAAAAGGAAGAATTAAAATGTACGATCTTTTTTGGACATTGGTTTCCATCACTGGTTACTGTTGTAAATATTGTCTGCCTTATTAAAATGCACGAGATTCGAAACTCCGTTTTATTTTAACAATTATGTATACTTTCTTTCCAGCTGCTGGTTATCACCATCTGACAACTCTATTTGGGCATTTGCTGCGCCTGCAATACTTGTGATCTTTATCAATTTTGTTATCCTGGTCTCTGTTGTTCGAGTCATTGTGGGAATCCAACCTGACCAAACTAATAATGTCAGAATCAGCAAAGTCAAGTGAGTAACAAGATGCATATGATGCTACAAGAGCAGTACTAGATAATAATGTTCTTTTAATGTGAAACAATTCAAATTTTTGAGATTCAAATTTTATGATACCCAGTTAAATACCAAGTGTTTTTATTACAAATTTATTTTATTTGTGAGTCCCTTGAAAAACGAGAATTTTTAAATCCTAAATAATCCTAGTTTAGAAACTTGACTTTCAAAAATTTGTGAAATGATCTCAAATCTAAACAAGAGAGCTACGCTCAAATATATGGACACGTAGCGCCACCTAATGGCAATAATTTTGATGACGTCATAGCACAAAAAAAAAATAATAGCCTTCTGAAGAAAATTTTTATCTTAAATCACTGAAAATTTCAAAGCAATTGGTTCAACAAGAACAAGAACAACAACATATTATAGAAACGATCGTTATGTCCATTTCGTGTCCAATAACGTTGATTGATTAAATAAAATAAATAATTTGGAATGTTGAGATTTATGATAATTTCAATATTCAAATTTATTGTATTAATGACTCAAACGGGAAAATTTGAGGCTTTTCGTCATCTGATAAATAGGCTAATTTGACTACTATCATAGAACAAAATTAAATTTTCTGCGACATACTTTTGTAAATTGTTAATCTTGTTCCCCATTACATCCAGAAACGCGGTAAAAGGGAGTATCTTTCTGTCTCCACTTCTTGGTACGACGTGGTTATTTGGCCTCTTGTCTCTGAGCCATGATACTTTACTGTTCCAGTACCTTTTTGCGACGACGAACTCTCTCCAAGGATTCTTTTTATTTGTTTTCCACTGCTTATGTAATTCAGAGGTAAATATATTTTAAATTCGTTTTCATTATATTTCAATTATGTGTGAGAGGATTGCTGGACTCCCCGACGCCGTAGGGTGGTTTACGTTACCGCTGGTGGGTTACGGATTCCTCCGCCATCGTAGTTTGCCATATGATTAAGCGGTCTCCCCGGGGATAAATATGTAAATTCTATCCTATCCTGTCCCTAACAAATATGTAGCAACACTCCAAACATTTTCGTCCAACAATGGAGAATATTTTTACTATCAAAATGCTAAAATGTATAAAATTTAAAAATTGGAACATGACAACATGTTGCTCTTAATTTTAAAAAATTGTTTTGGTGTATTGCGTATTCAACTGCCAATTTATTTTTTGTAGTAATCTGACTTCGAATTACTCTATCTGATATATAATTTTTGATACGATGGGCGATCATTTAATGAATGTTCGGTTTTGTATTGTTTTCGGGTAGTACGAAGCATAGGTTATTTAATTTAGGAGCGGAAAATAGAGATAAAAAACCCATAATGTCATTATGAGGTAAAAGTCAATAACATTGAAATACGTCTACATATTTTCGATATAACTCAGTTAACTAACTAAAGTACAAAGCGAAGAAACGTAATTCAGAAATTCAGAAATATGAATGATTAATCCTACGAGATGAATATTTTATTCTCAGTGCGATTAATTCCAATAATGTAATATGCTTCTAATTTTGATTAGGTGAGAGCTGATTTTGCTCGTCGTCACAATTTGAAGTCATCATCTCACGGGGGGAAATCCCCTCCCTGGTTTTCTGGTGTGTTCGGTCTGAATGTGGCTTCTGGACTACGGAAGTTCCGAGACAGCATAAGTTTTGACTTCGCTAGTTCTTCTCATCCAAGTTCAAACTCGGAACATTCTACTGGAGGGGAAGCTGTAAAGGAATCACCAAAGGTACGATATTGAATACGGCCGTTTAGCATTCAAAGTAGAAAATTGCTTTCTCGATTATTGAATTTAAATTGGTTAAATAGTTCCGTACAAGATTGTAAATAGTTATGTAGTATTTTGAACTTTTAGCCATGCAATGCAGCTTGTAAACGCTATCTTTGACTGATACTACTCATAAAGATATTTTACAATTTCATTTTTGTTATGAAGTCAGTTCTCAATTAAGTTTCCGTTTTCCAATCAGTAATTGTTCAAGTACTTTTACTTCATTTAATACATCTGTGTGGACCAAAACAGTATATGGTATCGATAAATTCCCCTTGCAATTTTAAACATTTCTAAGACGTTATTGATACTTTATATATCGACCTCTATTGGGCCCTTTTTTAAATTGTCCTACTTTTAAAGCTTCTAATATTGACTTGGGTTGAACATGAAATTTCAAATATTCGATGACATCTATTAAGACTAATCCGCAGATGAGGACAAAATAATTTAGACTGTATTACTGTGTATTCAACAGAAACATATATCTGATGATTTTAAACTACTTATTTTTGTGTTTGGTATCAGGACTCGAAACGAAAACTTTCACAATTCCTGACGCAGACGAAATCATTACTGAGTCAAAAATTCCACGACTAAAACGAACGAAGACAAGCAAATCATTGACTGCGCCGAATACAAATCAGAAGATCAGCAGTAAATTTACTAGAAGAGAGAAAACAAGTCTCGGGCACAATGAAAAGCAGAAGACTACTTCGGCTAAGGTCGATGCAATTGGTTTGGAACAATTCACGACTGAAACATTCAAATCAAATCAGGTTGGAGACAATAATGGCACAGATAAGATAACGAGTGATGATTCTGATACAAATTCAATAACTCCTGATACAGAGGACAGCAAACAAGTCGGTAGGTTATTTATTACTTACAAATATTGCTGCGTTTTAGATAGATTGAAAGGATTATTCATTGATTTTTGAGAATGAGGATGATCAGATTATTCAATCTGATTACAATTATTATTCTTCCAAAGCTTGTAGTTATTAACTTGATTGATTCGTTAAAACACAGTACTTTTCATAGCTCAAGTTTTTATGGCTGAGTGGATTGAATAACATGCAAAGCAGTAATTTTTCAAACCTGAAAGAATTTGTCAACTCATTCAAACTGTTTAGTAGTATATTCGTGCCACATGCTATACCAGACATAAAATCAAAACCATGTGTTATTAGCATATTTTATTTCTTACAAAAACTCACCAATTAGTCATGTAATTTTGTATTAATATAATATTCAGGTTCGGTGTTCAAGAAAACTCATCTCCTTCCTCCAATCCTGGAATGCCAGTCAAAAACGACACGATTCATATTACGAGAACAAATAAAATTTCACCAAGTCCAATGACAAGGCATCAGCAAGTAAGCATTAACTGACTATTAGATCTATGAATCGTTTTGTCAAATTGTTGTTGTTGTTAGTATTCCTATTGTTGTCGTGTTGTTGTGATGCTTTTTTCATGAAGTATCGGACCAATTGTTTTGAAATTTTCAGTGGTTAAATATTGTGTTTTTCGCTTAAAGTCTATTATTATATTACCTGTGGGCTGTGCAACTATTCTGTGGGCTCAGTATGATTCACTCTTTACTTTGAAGTTTTGTGTGATGATGTCATCAAAATTCAAAACTGCCGGTCCAATCGTTTTAAAATTTTCAGTGTTTTTTTGTTGTTGTTAGTCGACAATTTTTTTTTTAGCTAAAGATGATTGGGCCTTCTTGAATTACTTCTAATTACTCTGCTATCCCTTGATATTTTGTGCTTTTGGAATATGTGCCATACATCTGTTTCATTGTTTTTGTCATATTTCTTTTTTGTTACCCTTTTTGTATATATATTTTTTCTTGTCTTTTTTTATTCCATATTGTTCTTGTTTTGCATGGTCTCCTATTATATGTCTTTTTACTTTTAAATTAACATTCTTATTCTTTATTCGTCAGATTTATTACTTTTTTATTCTGTAGATTGCATTGGATCCAATGCTGCAACATGGGAGTGACCAGAAAGAAAATGAAAACGAAGCAATGAACTCGGAATATGTTGATCCGATACCAAAAGAATCAAACGTGAACAGACAGAAACGTGAAGGAAGTGAACAGACAAACGGCAGTTGTCCGGAATCAGTACAAGCAGGAGACAATATAAAATCTTCTCCTGGCCATGTAAACGAGGTCGATACGAACAAAACGCAAGTGGATCTCTAGATCGAAGATGTTTTAGATGAAGATAAGAAAGAAGCGTATAAGATACCAATGAGTTATGATTCTGGGTTGAAAAGTATTGACAATGAATCTTTGCTGGAGGAAGAATACCATGCGGATGAATACATTGAAATGCCTCACGGTAGATTCAAGTCGGCATATCATGGATGTGATGTTTACAATATAGTTGTTCTTGTATGTTATGTTCGTTACAACTTTTTGTTTTTATACCGCGATCAATGACAATTTCGTTTTTAAGAGGTGTAAATTTGTGACCTTACTACGCGTCCACTTTAACATATAAAGTTTTTCATCTGTCTACTCGCTCTTTATTTTCTTGTAGTTTGAGTATAACAAATGTTAGTCTTTATGTGCTTAGTCTTACAAAAAGAGATTTCAATTGCTAAAAGTATATTACTATTATTACACTCAAGTTATATCAAAAGCAGTATCCAAAGGCCCAATAAATCGCATTTCAGACTAAATGGTATTGTCGACTGTTTAGCTATTTCGTATGTTTTTTTAAAACTTGCATATTTGAGAAAAAATAATTATGGAATTTTTCAAAGGTTTCGCTGTTGTTTTGCGTTTTTATATTTGTTACCTATCTGAAGATTTTATTCTTAATTTTCTGTCTTGTTTTTTTCTTTATTGTTTGTACATTATCTGCAGTTAGAAACTCACATTCCCACTTTTTTCTGAAGAATTTCTCAAAAAGCAAGTTACGAATACTCATTCGAATGTATAGAAGATTGATTTCTAAACAAAGTTACAGGCGACACCGAAGTGCCAAGACTATAAGGAACTATGGTGCAGAATTCCGCGTTACTACATACAGATTGACGCAATGCTTGAAGTAGTTCATGCTAATATGATTGAAAAATAGCTTTGAGGTCAATTCCACTTTACTGAATCTCGAAAAATAAGGGTTTCACAATTTGTTTGTCTTGTTGATATACTGCCAGTAAAAGGGATAAAAGCTAAAATCCAACCCTATTTAACAACAAAAACTTCTTTGGAATGACAAGTTGGAAAAGGTCAGAAGAACACACAGGGTACCAATTTTTCAAATTCCACAAATAAGATTTGACTTTTGTTTATCATTTTAGCCTGTTCCTATATTGATTGCATTCTTCCTGGAGAATTTGAATCATGAGTTTTATCATTTTTATTTTTTTTTATATTTTTCGTTGTTGTTCTTATTTTCGGTATACTTTACTACTGTGGATAGTAGGTTGTTGTGTATTCATCGTTGTCAATACTGTAGAAAATAATACTAACAATTTATAGTAGTTTAATTAATAAGTTTTGTTACCTAGAATGTTCCCAAAGTATCCCATGAGATTGAGAATGAAAAAATAGCTGGAGGTAAATATTTGGTGCTCCAGAAGTATGCGCACCATGATGTCGCAGAAACTGAATTCTAATCGGCACACACATATTATGTCAGGTTGTGCGCCATCTTGGTGCGCATACTTCTGGAGTTCCAAATATTTATTATACTCCCATTCAAGGCGATTTTGCGGTCTAAAATGGGATTGCCTTCTTTAGTTCGATGTATTTTTTATTACCGTTTTTTTTCTTCGATACGAGCCTAAGTTTACCTAAGATCTTAGTAGGTGTATGTGTCCTGAGATGTTAATAGAGCAAATAAAAAACAAGTTGTAAAAGTAGCTGCTGATTTTTATCTAGGCATAGCAATTAGTGTATGAATATGGTAAAATGCTATGCACAACAAACTGCAAGATATTTACATCAGATTTGAATTCAACAGAAAAATGCTAAATTAAATTCAAGACATTGCATTGTAAATATTAATTTAGGGGTATGGTAGGTTAACACAGCAAGCTACAAGATATGTACATTAGTCTTGGGAAACTTAGAAAGATTCAACAGAAAAAGCTTAAACAAACTGAAAGACTTTATTGTTAAAAAGTTTACTTTGCAAAGTTATGAGTCCTATTTAGCCTTATTTAGAAGGTCTGGTATGTCTACAAATACTAAAATCTTTCAGCATCATGACTCTGACCATTGCTTTTGAGTTTTAATTCAAATTTCCATGTTATTCAAACCCGGGGACTCTAACTTGTTACACCAAAGATATTACAAAAGATATTAACCAACGTATTGACTACCAGACCAGATCATGCTACTAAGCATGATTACACTACATTGGCTATGCAAGCAAATAAAATATAAAAAAGCATTTCCAGCAGAAAATCACTTGTACATTTGTTACACATTTGATATAGCTTATGAAGCTGCATCAATCATTGTTAGTTATAATGAATGTCGTATATCGATAATTGTAATAATTTGTATTATATAAAAATAGCAAACAAAGTAAAGCGTCAAAATTAAAATGTTTTGTCCAAACGACACAATAGAATGGCACAAAAAAATGATCTACATTTAGCCAATTGTTTGCAACGAGTGATTAATAGTACAGCTTGATAAATCAAAGACTATACAAAATTCAAATGTTTTTTATATAATTTTTATATTCCAGAAATTCTACTTCTCTAAAATTGGTCTATGTCCTCTCTTTATGACATGAATTGCATTGAAATCCAATTGATTGGCCACGCAGCCGTATAGTATGCTACCAAAAACCATCAAAATTCAGCAAGTTCTAATTATTTAATAACGGAATTTTCGCTAGCCAAGATTAACTTAGCGCTACTTGAGCAAACTATTTTTTGTTTTTTTGCTTTTCTTGGTAAAGAAATACTGGAAAAAAAAAATACTTGAAAGCTAACACATCTGAACTATGTGGAAACTCAACCTAAGTTAACCAATCCAGAAAATATAGTTTATATCTAATTTGTCGAAATAATAGAAGTTTAAAAACGAATGAACATATATTTCCTAAATATCCAGGCTTGTCCGTGGAAATTTGAAACGTCCCATGGGATGGGATGAGACAGCACACATTTATATTCCTCATGGGACACGAAACACCGCATGATTTTCGAGGAAATGATGGTAAAACATTTTGTTTTGGACTTCGTGTCCATATACTTGAACACATTTCTCTTGTTAGGTATAAAGACAAAATATTATCTTTATTTGTTTTCCATTGTTAATGTAATTCAGAGATAAAAGATATTTTTAGATAATTGTATTTCTCATATTTCAACCAATATGTAGCAGGACACCAAACACGTTTTCCCAACTACAATAAAAAATATTTTTAACTATCAGAATGCTAACATGTAGAAAATTGAAACATGACAAAGTGTTGTTGGTAATTTTAGAAATTTTTTTTTTATGTATTTCATAATACAATGAAAACTTATTTTATAAAGTAATATGAATTAGAATTACTCTATCTGATATATGATTGTATGAATACGATACACAGCCAATAAATGAATTTCCGGTTTTTCATTGTCAGAAAGCAAAGCTTGCAGAAAATAGGGATTAGTGCAATTCAGACGCCCTCCCTCTGAGCCTCTTGTATATCGCTGCTATAAAATGTCATGACTTTTTGTTCAAATGAGCAGGAAATTTCACTTAGATTTCGTTGGAAAGCGTATTCACGCTTTATGCCAGCTGTTTCTCGAGGCGTGTGTGCCTTTTGCTCAACCATGTCGCGTTGAAATGAGAGAATAATTTTTTTTTTTTGAAAAAAGTTTCGTTTTGAAATCGTTATGATTAATACAAGCGAAATTGACTCGATAACAAAGTCGCTCAGAAAGGAGAATTACGTCACCTCTCCAACACTGGGTATTCAAGATACAAAGAGCGCATGTTTTCGCTAGCAGTTTCGACCGAGCGCAATCATTGTTTGAACGATTCACGCGCAGAAAACGATTTCTAGCTCACTTAAATTACTTTCTTTCAAGTAATAGCAGATTCTTTGTATTTTTCTTAGCTTTCAAATACTTCTTGACATCGGAGAATTGAAAATATGATAAAGAAAAATGACGTGCTACCGTGGCCTCCAACAATCGGGCAAGCATATGCCATGCTTGAAAACGACGCAAATGTTTCTTATTGCTCTTGTTTTGACTTAGTCCACGATAAGACGTATACATAAAGGATAATACTTCTTACTCACCAATTATATTAGGGCCATATTTTTATAAGCACTTAAGTGATCTCCCGGCTATAACCCATAATGGCATTATGAGCTATAAGTCAACAGCATTGAAATGCTTCTATGTGTATTCGATATAACTCAATTAACTAAAGTATAACAATAAGGTAACTCTGAAATGCAAAAATGCGAATGAATAATCCGATTGAATGAATAAACTATTCCCAGCACGATTGATACCAGTAATGTAACTTCTAATTTTGAATAGGTGAGAGCTGATTTTGCTCGTCGTCACAATTTAAAGTCATCATCTCACGGGGGGAAATCCCCTCCCTGGTTTTCTGGTGTGTTTGGTCTGGAGGTGGCTTCTGGACTACGAAAGTTCCGAGACAGCATAAGTATTGACTTCGCTAGTTCTTCTTATCCAAGTTCAAACTCGGAACACTCTACTGGAGGGGAAGCCGTGAAAGAATCACCAAAGGTACGATATTAAATATGGTTGTTAAAACAACCAAAGTAAGAAATTGCTTCTACAATTATTGAATATCAGTTAGTTAAATAGTTTCATACAAGATAATAAATATTTATTTAGAATTTTGAACTTCTAGCCAAGCGATGCAATTTGTAAACGCTATCTTTGACTGTTGCTACCCATAAAGTCCCTTTACGATTTCAATTTGTTATGAAGTCAGTCATGAGGTCAATATATCTTAACTAAGTTTCTGTTTTTGAATCAGTAATTGTTCAATTATTTTTACCTCATTTAATACATCTGTGTGGACCAAAACAATATATGGTATCGATAAATTCTCTTTGTAATTTAAACAAAAATTTTAAGACGTTTTTGACCCCTTATATATCTACCTTTATTGGTTCCTTTTCAACTTGTCCTACTTTTAAAGCTTTCAATATTTGCATGGTTGAACATAAGCTTTTGAATCTTGATGATATTTGGGCTAATCCGCAGTTCTGGAGTAATTTATTTTGACTGCACTACTTTGTATTCAACAGAAACATATCTGATGATTTTAAATTACTTCTTTTTTTGTACATAATCAGGACTCGAAACGAAAACTCTCAACGATTCCTGACGCAGAAGAAAGTGTTGCTGAGCCAAAAGTTCCACGACCAAAACGAACAAAGACAAGCAAATCACTGACTGCGTCAAATACTAATAAAAAGAACAGCAATATATTCACTAGAAGGGAGTAAACAAGTCTCGGGCATAATGAAAAACAAAAGACTACTTCACTGAAGGTCGATGCAATTGGTTTGAATCAGATCCCAAGTGAAATACCCGAATCAAATGAGGTTGAACACATGAGTGGCACTGATGAGATAACAAGTGATAACTCTGATACGAATTCAATAACTCCTGATACGAAGGACAATAAACAAGTCAGTTGAGTTGTTACTTACATATGTTGCTATGGTTAAGATTACCAAGATTTTTTTCATAAATTCATTATGTTTTAGTTTGAGGATTGGCAGCTTTGGGATTTTAATTCAATCTGATTACATTCATTATTCTTACAAATCATGCAGTTGATACAATACAGTAAGTAATTTTTCAAACCGTAAACAATTTCAACTCATTCAAGCTGTTTATTAGATTTTGTATTCGTGCCACGGGCGATACCAGACATAAAATCAAAACCATGTGTTATTAGCATATTTTGATTCTTACAAAAACTTATCAATCAAGTCATGTAATTTTTTATTGATATAATATTCAGGTTCGGTGTTCAAGAAAACTCATCTACTTCCTCCAATTCTGGGAATGCCGGTCAAGAATGACACGATTCATATGACGAGAACAAATAAAATTTCACCGAGTCCAATGACAAGGCATCAGCAAGTATAACTCACTATTAGACCTATGTATAGTTTTTCCAAATTGTTGTTGTTGTTAGTACTCTTATTGTTGTTGTTTTGTTGTGATGCTTTCTCATTAACCACTGAAAAATTGTTTGAAAATTTTCATTCGTTCAAGATTGTATTTTTCGTTAGAAGCCTATGACCTTCATTTACATTACAAATTTCTGTGGGCTCAGTGGGGTTTGTTTTTCACTTTGAATTTTTGTGTGATGACGTCATCAAAATTAAAAACTGCTTGACCAATTGTTTGAAATTTTCAGTGGTTAGCTAGCAAAAATAAACGCATGAAGCGTTTTAAAAAAAAATATAACTTTGTTGTTGTTCGTCGGAAAAAAGTTTTTTTTTATAACCCATTAGATTAATCTACTTGGATTACTTCTGATTACTCTGCGATCTCTTGATATTTTCTGCCTTTCGAAAATCACTCGGCCAAAGTGTCATAGACCCCCCTTACCTGGCCATGTAAACGAGAAGGATGTCCACAACAATCTTCAGATTGAAGATGTTTTAGATGAGGACAAGAAAGAAGCGTACAAGATACCAATGAGTTATGATTCTGGTTTGAATAGTATTGACAACGAATATTTGCTTGAAGAAGAATACTATGCGGATGAACACATTGAAATGCCTTACGGAAGATTCAAAGTCGGAATACATGGGTGTGATGTTGTAATTTAGTAGTTGTTCTTGTATTGTTGTTGTTTGTTACAATTTTTGTTTTATACCGTTATCAATGACATTTTCATTTTTTCAAGAGTGTTAATTTGACACCCTCCCGTGTGTCCACCTCAACATATAAAACTTTTCATCCGCCTTCTTTATGTATGACCAAATTTGCACTTTATTTTCTTGTAGTTCCTGTATAACAAAAATCAGTCCTTGTGCGCCGTAAACTAAATAAATACTGAACCGTTTTTGCCAGTAGTTAGTTTCTCATGAGGTAATACAGTATATCGTGCGAGTCTATTACTATATTCACTATCATAAACAATAACCAAAGGCACCCTAAATTTCATTCCAGACAAAATTGAATTGTCGATTGTCTAGTGATTTTTATGCTTTTTTACAAATTTTAAGTATCGATTTTTGTAGAATTCGCTGTTATTTTGTGTTTTTAAATTTCTTACTTATATGTAATTACTTTCTTAATGTTTCTTCTTGTTTTTAGTCAACCGTTTGTTTATAATGTACATATAACATTGTCTAGTACTCGTCTTACTTTTTCGGACACATATATATAGCCAATACGGCCCGAGTGACAGCTCGCGATACCGTGTTTGAAGGATTAAAAATATTTTGTATGGTCCCGAAATTTTAAATTCTGGAATTTGCCTTCCATTGATTATTCATACCTTGTTTATGTTGATTGCAGTCTTCCTGGTGAATTCAAAATTTTTATTATTTTTTATTATTGTTGTTGTTTTATTTCTCGGTGTAATTTACTACTGTGGATACTAGGTTTGTTGTGTATTCATCGTTGTCAGTAAAATTAGTAAATACCAACATACAAATTAGTTTTAGTTTTGTTAATAATAGTTAAGTGTTTCGTTTCTTACAATGTTCTGAAATTTCACAACTCAAGACGATTTTGAGGTCGAAATGGGATTGCCTTAAGATTATGTTCATTTACATGGCTAGTTAAATTATAGTTGCATGTCTAGTTTTTGCGTTTCTTCTTTCTCTAATACAAGCTTGAGTTTACCTTAGTAGTAATAGACGTCCCAAAATGTTGGTAGAGCAATTAAAAAAAGAGATAAATGTATACTGAAGATATTTATTATTGTAAGGATGGAAACATACCACAATAAGTGTTACTTCCGTAGTATATATCCCAGGTTAGGGTTAGGCCATAATATTTTTTCAAATTTCCCTATTTTAGTTCTATTACGAGTTCGGGGACTGTCTGTGCTATCCAGGTGAATATACATACCCCTTGCCCATAGGTTTTAGTCCTTATATACAACTTGATGTGAAGTAGGCGAACAAAATTAGTTACCTTCATATTGGTACACACAATTCTGAAGCGTCGATAAATTTAAATATTATTTTACAAAGAAATACAAATACATGCTATAAAATACAGGTTTTGACAAGAATATTCAGGTATCGTTTATTCTCTTTATTAGTTCTGCACACACCGCTTAACGCCCGAGGGGAAGAACTCAAGTATTATTTCAAACCGATTTATATGACATTTCAAATACATTCTAAAATACATTTTTTGGATATTTTGGATGTCGAATACATGTCGAATTTTTCAAAACTCGCATATCGATATAAATTCAGAAAAATTCATAGAGATTGTATTTGAGAAAGCATGAAAAATTGAAAATAAAATTGACACTAACACGTATGTGTCCGATAAAGTCTGACCAAGGAACGAAACATCAATGGGTGAAATGCATACTAGGGTGACAGAATCACCCATGTGATATTTTTTGGATCTAAATCTGTCCAGCCGTTTGGACGCTACAGCAGGCCAACCAGACAGACTGACAAGCCGACAGACGCCCAGTATAGATCTTTGCCATTACTTTGAAGTCGCGTCAATTCAGGTACACTAACGCAAGGTTTCCCAAACGGGGGTCTGCAACGATATGAAAAGAGTCTAAAACATATACGAATAAATCATCTGGCATTATTCGACAGTAGTATGTATTGGTTCAGAATTTCATGAGTTTTATTTCGTCAAAGGAAAAATCATTCTTCCTCGTTGGTTAGGCAGAGAAATTGATACGACATAGGATAGCCCTTCAAAAATAAGATTCACAAACAAGGGTCCGCAGCCCAATAAGTTTGGGAAATCTTGCTAACGGGTAATGGACGCCATTATACTGAAACTAAACCAGTTCATTTTGAATGCTGTGCGAAATTATGCTTCGGATATTAATTAAAACACTAAAATTCCAAAGGCTTCAGTTTATGAACTATCGAGATGAATGACGTCTTGTTTGTAATAGTAACTTCTTCCACGGAGTACAGCATTCTCGGAAGTTTTATACTCACATTGGTTGACGAGGAAATGGCGAAAATTTATGAGAAAGAAGAACATTTTTAACAATCGGCGGTTGTTTTGTTGTTGCCATGGAAACGAAACTTCAATTCGGACTTTCTATGAAACTCACGTTATTAGGGTGGCAGGATAACCCACGTGAAAATTTCCAGATTGATCTAGCCGATTAAAGGCTACATTCAAACTGATAGATAGACAAAACGACTGAGGATAAGGGTCTCCTAGTGCGGAGATCTAATAAATACAGATCAAAGCAAATCTACATTCATCTATCTTGAATGAAGTTTTGCTATGAATACCATTTTACATACTCCCTAAACAATTTTGCAAAAAAGGCTTTGGGCTTATCTCAATACATTCGAGCATATTTACCAGTGGTTGGTCATCGTAAAATTTTTCCGCAAGAGGACTGTTTCTTTCAAACAGAATTATTGAGTCAACATCTTTAAATATTTATTCTAATTTAAAAAAATGAAAAGGTGATACGAAATTATAACAAGGACACGAAGGAATTATAGGCCACACGGCACGGAAAAACTTAAAGAGCCTAGGAGACCAATTCTATTTTAATTATTCTGGAATACAATAATACTAAAATAAATTTTATAACACATTAGTCGAGAGGGAAGGCTATTTTTCACTGAAGAACAACAATAATTTTTAATCCCGTACGTCCGTTTCGTGTCCACCTGTTAAAAGGATTACATCGATCGCGATTGAATCTACGGTGTGCGGCAGATCGTACAGAACTAATTAACGGAGAGATGCCAGAAGGTCGTTGGACTTCTTGAGACTGTTCAACAAACGGATCAACATTACAACTATTTGACAATGCAGGAAGATTTCCTAAAATAGAAGCTCCTTCCTGCGGTGCCTGTATACACACATCACCGGAAGCTGATGCGTTTGCAAGACGATTTACAGAAATAGGATCCCGTGCCTGCGATGGTTGTATACTCAAACCACCGGATGCTGATGCGCTGGAAGGACGATTTCCAACTGGTGGTGGTCCAATTGCTGATTGCTCTGCTAGTGGTAATAATATGGCCCACTCTTCATCTCCCGGAAATTGTTGTGACTGATCTCCAGATAATGGTAATGAAGGCCTAGCAATAGCTAATGAACCAGAAGGAGGTAGCCCTATAGCTGGTTGCCTTGCAAGTACAGCATCTGAAAAAAACAGGAGGTAAGATTATTGGTACCGCGGTTGGTGAGTTCGAAACCAATAGGTGAGATTATCTGCAAAAAACTGGTGGAGTGCTTCTTCACGTATCAGAGTTGCCCACGCAATTACTGGTTATCACGGTATATTTTGTCATATACCACCTTGGCTGTAATTTGACTAGAAGCGATAATGCACACCATGATTGTACAGTATTAGAGAGAGAAATGCTGAAAATGCAATTTTAAGTTTTGTATTGAAACCTAGTTTTACAATAATTTTACAAGTAGTACGAAGCGTAGTATATCAAAAAATCGCAGCTTTAATTTATGAATATGAGATCGACTTACCACGCTGAATGTTAGCAACAGTTGTGGTTAACGCATCCAATTGTTGTTGTATGTTTTGGAACACTAAATGCAAAAAAACACATCATTACTTCAATCATGAAATTTTTTCAAATTTTTCAAGAACTGAAAACTCACCAAACTGCCGAATTGAAATTAATGGCTGACATAGAAATCTAAGGGTCGGAATAAAACATCAATCAATATGTTAGTGCATATTAGTAATTCGAATGGCTAATTAGTCTCAGTCATATGGCGCGCTTTTCCCCCGTTAGCCAGCAATTACTTTCCTGTACGTCTGAAGTGACATTTTACAGTACCGTATTTTCATTGTTCTACAGAGCGTTTCAAAACACGATTTTTTTGTTTATCGATATTGCTGCTCAATATAGCTTAGGTATTTTATATCCACTAAAATTAACCCAAAAATATTTGTTCTCACCTCCCATTATTTCACAATTATCCGGGCCAGGATTTTCAACAACAGCACCTGCCATGCAATAATTTATACATATGAGTTGAAATATCCTAACTTTCTCAATAACCTATTAAACATATTAAATTGTCAAGTTCGAAATCTGTATTTGCAGCGGGTTAAACTATACAAATAAGTTATTTTCCCGTTCAGCCTAGCCTATTCAACCAATCATAACTCATATAATAATTTAAGCATGGGATTGAAGCTTTCAACCCTTTTTGAAGTATAGATATTTTTCGATCAGCAGAGGTTGCGCGAGACTAACTCCCAAGTCCCAATCCTTTCTTTATGCCTTTGCGCTAGTGGATCCGTATGCATGTAATGCAAGGATGCTGTAGCAGGAATAAAATACCATAATATGCAATTCAAGAGTCCTGCTGCACACTAACACAAATATATTTCTGTAACGTTTCGTCTGACCAAAATCAGACTTTCTCAGACAAGCAGTTTACAACAATGTAACAACAATTTTGTTGTAAACTTCTTGTCTGAGGAAGTCTGATTTTGGTCAGACGAAACGTTACAGAAATATATTTGTGTTAGTGTGCAGCAGGACTCTTGAATTGAATATTATAGATATTTTTGCTAATTTTAATTGTGAAATTTAACAAGCATTCTATTTGCGTTTTAAAGCTAGGTGCTTTTCTACGTAAGGCATTCAAAAAAGGCATTAATATTCAATTTCATATATGGCATTCAAATCAATCGGTAAGTTTGGTAAGCTTTAGTTAGAAACAAAAATTTTGATGATTAACTTGATAACACTTATACACGTTTTTGAAGCAGAATCTTTTCATCGTTATAGTAAAACATAGACCTAGTGTTCAGAACGTATATTAAGCTATTTTTTCTCATTTTTTTCTGATTGTATGAAGAAGAGATGCCTGGTATAAAATCTAAAATCATATATATTTGGGCTCGATTTC